GGATTAAAAAGAAACAGGGGTCTGGGATTCTGTGGGGAGCAGGTGAGCTGGGGGAAGGCGCAGGAAATGCGAGGTGCATGAGGTCCTTTTTTTTAATGGTAAAGACTGCTTTATTGGTGGCAGTTAGTACAAGTCAGTAAATATTGATCCCCAAAGAGCTCGGTTATTTATCATATTACTGGTCCAGAGAGCTGATGAGCTGAGCCCCGTGACTGCTGGTTTGACTGAAGTCATTCCGGCTTCTTGGGAAATGATGCCATAACCAACTGATATACGGCATACGCAGTTCCGCCCGCTGTAAGAATCACAGTGGCTCTATACAAGGGGGCATCAGCTACCCCGCCCTGTAGATGCACTGGAATTCCACTGTCCTCCTGAAAGAGCTTTTGTTTCTGTGGAACTTCATTTTCAAAATGTGTGTGTGAAGCAGTGCTGATCGTCCTCTGAGCAAGAGGTCGGAGAGCCAGCAGATTGCGCAGCGTTTTCCACGATTACAGCTCAACAACCGCGGTGTCTGACCACCAGCAGCAAAAGCCACCGGGGCCGGAACCGGAACCGGAGAGAGCACGATGGATGAGGTCCTTTAGTCAGTTTGTTCCGCAGTCTTGAGTCCTTCCAGCCACGACCAGCCGTTCCCACGGGAGGGCGAACTTTTCACTTGCTTCTGTGTCCCAGGTGCCTCCGGCTCCAAAGTCTGCTAGAGCGGCCTATTCTGGCCGGCACACTGGGATCCCTTCTCCTAACTTCTGGCGTCCAAGCCGCCTCGCCGGCTGATCTCAAGGTGCCTCCCTGCAGTGGTGCTGGGGAGCCAGGCACAGAGCACCCCCGTGAGTTGGCAGGGGGGCAGTGATCCCTGCTGCATCTCCTCTGCTCCACGGCAGGACGCGGGCATAGGCGGGGTCAGGACGCCCCACGCTAACTACTGTGCGTCCTCCCACGGGACTCGGTGTGGGGACAACAGCTCAGGCCACTGGATGCCACCACACTCACTGCAGAGTGATCTGCTGTCTTTTATTTTATGTTATTTTTTGTGGCGCTGGTGAAGGGGCCCAAGGCCTTCTGTGACGGCCAAGTGCTCACCACTGAGCCCCCAGCCCCTTCCGTCAGTCTCTGCATTAGCACCTGTTACGGCTGTGTCTAGATCCCCCCAGAACCTCACACTCATGGCTGGGCTTTGTCAGAGGTGGCTGCATCTGGAGTGTCTGACTCTGGCATGGATTCACGGTGCAAAGCTAGGCTCAAGGGCACTGAGATTAAGGGTGTGAGTGCCGCCTGCCCTGAGCAGCCGGGATGAAATATAAGGGACAGAAAGAGCTGTGGTGGCCCCTGGTTCCTTTGCCTGCCCCTCTGCCATGTGCCACCCTGCCTTGGAGCTGGCCGATTATGGACTGACACCGCCACAAAGGTGAGCCAAATGAACCTCCCCTCCTTTAACTTTGGTGTCAGGTCTGTCTCAGGCAACGTCCCTCCTTAGTCATGACTGTCTGAAGCTTCTCTTTGGACAATTTGAGAGATTGTGAGAGCTAAGTTCTTTTTTTTCTCCAACCTTACTAAGAGGTTTTTATTTATAGATATTCCGACCTTCTTAACAACTATTTTTTTCTTTGTACAGTTCTGTACATCCTGTTCATAGGGTCTCGGTGTCTTTTTTGCACTGCACACCGTGTTTATACAGAGCTGTAGTTTCCACTGATTGTACTGTACAGTACTGTAGTTTTATATTCTGTTATACATCACAGCACTGTGTGTAAGAGTTGTGCAAATAAAAGCAAAGTCATCAGGTCAGAGTTTCTTTTGACGGTTTCTTGGTTGTGAAATTGTAATGTACATACCATAGACAATTCCCCATTTAGCACCCAATTCATTTAGCAACCTAATTACAGGATCAGAACTTGGTTGTTAAAGGAGGAATGTCTGTATTTGTTTTTTATTTTTTGGAACTAAAATCTTTGACCCCTTGCATGCTGGTGTTATCTATGCCCTTTACACTGGAAGCTGACTTTTGCCAGATCTGAAGGCCACACTGGCCTCCAGTTCTTCTCTGCATGCTAAACGTGCTCACTCCACCACCTGGCGACCAATCTCTGGGTGCTGGGGCATGTTCTGAAGGAACAGGTCGCCGGTGTGCGGCTGCCTCAGTGTAAGCGTGTGCTGCCTACTGCGCCTGCTTCAGGGGTCATTTCCTGATGACACCAAAACAGGAAAAAGGCTGTGGTTTTGATCTGGTGCTCGGGTCTCTTTGTAGCACACTTTCATTGTCTATAGAAATGTTATTCTACTTCTCATTCTCTTTCAATTTCTGGTAACTTTGCCTCATTGCCTGCCCAATTCTGGCCCAATATTTGGCCCAATGCCTCATTTCTTTGCTAATGCTCTTTTTTTCTTTCTTGTATACTGGGCCTTCACACTGAGCTACATCCTTAGCCTTTTAAAAATTTGATTATGTAGTGAAAAAGAAAATGAAATTTTAAATTTTGAGACAGGGGCTTGCTAAATTGCTCAGACCAGGCTTGACCTTGTGATCCTCCTGCCTCAGCTTCCCAGAGTGTTGGGACGACAGGAGCGTGCCCCAATGCCTAATGCCGATTCTTATGACTATCAGTTCTGAACACCTAGGAGGAGGCAGAGTGCAGGAGAGTTTCTGCAACTTTACTTTGAGTCTTGGTCTGTTGGGACTGCTGTGCATAGGAAACCTCCTTCCACAGGGGCTTAAAAACCACATGACTTGTTTTTTCCCATTGTGGAGGCTGGATGTCCAAGCTTGAGATGCCAGCGGTCAGGGGCTAGAGAGGGCCTGATTTCTGGATGCCAGGGGATGTCCTGGCTGTGTCCTCCATGGGTAGTGCCAGGGACCCTCAGGACCTGATCCCTGCAATGGCTGTGCCCCGAACACCCTCCTGGGGAATAGGTTTCTACTTGTGAATCCGCCTGTTGTCTCCTCCCTGTGCAGGGGTATAGGATTTCCTTATGAAACGTCCCTCTCCCGCTCTGAGCCGCATGCTCCTGCTCTTCTCTTGTCTCCGTTCTGCAAGGGCCGATCTACCTCCTGAGGGGCTCCAGTCTTCTGGTCTCCCGGAGCCCCTCCTGCTTGCTCAGGGCCCCCCTGCCCCACTGTCCACCCTAACCCTGCTCTCCTGGGACCCAGGCTGCGTGGGCCTCCATCTCTGTCCAAAGCCTTGCTGCTCCTGCTCCTGCCTACCTTGCACTGGTCTCCCTCAGGCCTTGGGGCTGCCTGTGGTTTGCCCCACCTTCTATTTTGGGATGTCTGAGGGTAACTCTACACTTTGTCAGTTAGTTTTGTGGGTATTTGGTTTTGCCATCTAGTTGCTCAGCCACAACACCCAACGGAAGAATGGCCTCTGATCACTGAGAAAGAGAGAAAGAGAAAGACTGAGCGAGTCATTCTCAGCGATGAACTGTGGGTGAACTCGCCTTCAGCCCAGCACACGAACATGGGACAGATCAGAGCAGCCCTCAAGAAGCCCTAACCATCAAGCTGCTTGGAAGTAACGAGCTTGAGAGAGCCTGCAGCGGAGCTCCCCAAATGAGGAGCACCACTGGGCACATCTGGTTCTTGTCTCCTTCCATACATGTGACTGGGAATCAGCTATGGGCTGTGATTCCAGTAAACAGACAAGTGAACTGTTTGTCTAAAGAGTTTTAAGCCAGGTGTGGTGGCGCACACCTGTCATCCCAGCACTTGGGAGGCTGAGGCAGGAGGATCCTTGCGAGTTCAAGACCAGCCTGGGCTACAAAGTGAGCTGAAGGTCAACCTGGACTGCGCAGTGAGACCCTGTCTCAAAAAGACAAAAAAAAAAAAAAAAAGTTTTGAGCCCAGGAGCCAGAGATCAACTTGGGCAGCTGTAGTAGTTTGCGGTTTCTGTAAGGGGAATAATACAATACAGGATATATATTTTATAAGATTATTTATAAGTCACCTAAAGAGTCATATACAAAGAGAATGCAGGAAATCTGTCCACACACTAACGAAAAAAGAATCCAGCTGAGGACCTGGATCCCATGCCGATGTCCTGCATGAGTCCAGCTGAAGACTTAGAGTCCATTACAGAGCCGCCCACAAGTCCAGCTGGAGGCCCAGAGCCCACAACAATGTCTCATGTAGGCCTGCTTCATGGATCTGCACTGGGAAGGCCCAAAGGTCAGTGGTGGAAGCTAGGAAGTCTGTGCCAGCAGGATGAAGGAGCTGTGCCAGCAGGCTGAGGGATCGGCACTGGAGCCAGGAAGTGATGTGCAAAATAAGGATCAGAGCTCCCCGGAAAGGTACCACAGCCATCCTCAGTGAGGTCCTGAGCTCCTCCAGTGTTGAGGAAAGTTGAGTTCCCACCAGGAAAGCCAACATAATAAGCTTCTCCAGGAGACTGAACAGTGCACCACCTTCCCCTCCAGAGCCAGGAAGTGACACTCAGAGTGAGGACTAGGGTTCCCCCAAAGTGAACCAAAACCATTGTCAACGACAACAAGGTCCGGAGTAAGTCGGATGATAACAGCTGAGTTCATCAGGAAAGCCAGCATGACGAGCTCCTCCAAGACAACCAACAGCTCCTTACAGCTTCTACCAGCTCCCAACAGCCTCACCTTTTCCTCTCCAGGTCTGCCTCTTATGCTGCTGGCAACAACCCTCGGTGGGCCTCCACACGCAGCACCACGCTGGTTCGGTTCAGCTGGGGGTTACAAGTTGACCCCCAGGTGTCAATCCACCGCAGCAACATAATGAGGCCCTGTCTTACATATATGTGTGTATATGCACGTATACCTATACATGTGTATAACTTGCAGCAAAATAGAGGGAACTAGACCCTGTGTTCAGTGAAATAAACCAGATGCAGAGAGAGAAGAGCAACTTGTTAGCTTTCACACCTGGAAGCTAAAGGCAAGTGTGCACCCGAACACCAAAGGGTGATTGACAGATGCTGCAAGGGGTGGCTACAGTTATGCGTGCGTTTAAGTATCACATTGAACGCCAGTAATATGTACAACGGATGCGTACTAATCAAAAGCAACATGTTTAAAAATACTCAGATCACAAAGGGGAGAGGGGAAACCTAACGGTAACATTTTTTTTTTCTAAAAAGCAGCTCAAATATAAGCAGATGAGATTCCTATGACAAGGAAATGCGTACGAAATGGTTTTATGTACTGAAGCATTCTTTTAATGTAAAGTTTTAGTTCCATTGTCTGCGTTGTAACCTTGGCACGATACCTTGCGGTCCTGCTTGAAGGGAGAGGAAGGCAAAGGAGCTACTTCGCCTGCCCCGCGCGGCGCCTGGGGTTCGGCGCGCCGGGCTCCCATCCTCTGCAGGTCTTCCCAGGCTAAGGGCTCCGCGTCGGGAGAGGCCGGGACCTGCGGGAGGTCCCCGCCCATCTCCACGCGCGGTCGCGGCCTGTGATCCCCAGCCCGACTGCGGGGGTGGGAGACGGCGCGTCACGGCCCCCGCGTGCGCGTGAGCGACGGCACCCAGCCTCATCCCACCGGGCCGAGCAGGACCCTGGGGTGACACAGCGCCCGCAGCGGGGTGCCGGGGCGGGGACGCCGA